TTTTTTTGGAAACTTTCTGGCGAATCTTAAATTTTCAACGCCTCCACTGCGAGCGCTAGACAACTATTGGCGTATTGGAATGCTCACACACATGATACATTTTGACCATCGAAGCAAACTTTTTCTATTCGACGGTGGAATATTTACAAGTAATTATTCCAGTGACGAAAACTTGCAATTTGGCTAAGACCGGCTAGTTGTTAATCTTTTAAAAATTGAAAGTTAGATTTTTGCTTGAAAAATCAAAGTTTAAAAAAAAAAGTTCCAGGCCCTTGTCGAAACGTTGCCAGGAACTTGGAAAAAGATTCTATTTCAAAACGGACTCAGAAAATGATCAATTCGATCAATGTGCATACTTTTGGCGTGGGGAGCGGATTATCGTGCCATTCGTGACAAGTTCCATTCCCATCGAAAATTATTTCTGTTCGCAGGCACCTGCAGAGACCAGCCCGCCCCCGACACGCTCCACGACCGTCAACCCACTGAACAAACTGCGCAATCGAAACAGGCTGCAAGTACACCCGAAGACAACCACCAGAGCCCCGGTGTCTCTGGCGTCGAGAAGATCGCCGTTGTTGCCACGCCGCAAGGCAACCGAGCCACCGGTGGTTCCACCCAGCCATTCGGATGAAGCGTCCGAAGAACCGGAAGCTTCCAGCTCCAGCGAAATCGAGCCGACCGAGCCTACGTCCGCTGAAACAAGCACAGCAGCGAGCACGAAACACGAGGAGACCAGGGGACTGAGCGGACTGTTGGCGCCCAGACGCAGGATAACGCCGCGGCGACCTGGACAGATCATCTCGCGGGAGTAACGCGCGAACAACGTACAACGAAACGTCCTCCGTATCCGTATCCGGGCCCCCTAGTTTCTACTTCCTCGCAGTATTCGTCGCTGTTTCGAGATCGAGGTCGACGTTAGAAATGAAGCTGTGGCGGCGATCAATTACCGAAAAAGGCCGACGGAGGATAGCTGTTGTCGCGGAAACTAACGACCAGCTCGACCGAGCGATTGACCGAGCGAAGAGATTCCGTCGTTTCCAATTTCTTCGGTATTCGTGCTCGAATCTCTGTGCGTGTACGAGGGGTAAATCTCGTCGACAATCTCCAATTGGTTGCTGACGAGGGACCATCCCCTTCCCGAGTTCAAGTGACCTCGAGGGACATTATCTTGCTTCGCATGAGAATCTCCTTTTTTTTTTAAATAAAATCTGTCAGATTTTCGTTTAAAAGGAAAAGAAAAGAAAGAGAAGAAGACAGAATCACGTATTACACATTCGTTTAAAGACGTTCAAATGAGACGATGCCTTGTCGAGTTTGATGAGCTTTCTAATCTAGCCCTCGAAGTTTCTCGATACTCGCGATAATAAACGATCAGCAACAGCGAAACTAAACGCGCTGTCGCTGGAATGTTAGAGTCAAGTTTCCAAAAAAACGAACGTACGAATTAGATGATGGATGTATTATACGGCGAAACTTGCTCGCATCTTTCGAACGATACTCCTGAATCGCGTCTCTATGTTTCTATCCATTATCGCGACGCGTAACGGTCTCGATTGCCCACAGTCATCGGTAGAGAACATTAAGCTGACTAAAGAGCGCGTAAATAGGAAGATGTTTATTCGTAAATTCAACTGATTTGACGAATTACGTATAGAAATTGATTCGATGCCTGTTGAAATAATTGCAGGTTCACTTTACACTTTATTTCGTATCATTTTGAATTCTTCGAATGATCAATCTTAATATGTACATATAGAATAACAGGATAAGTATTATCATTATTATTATTATTAGTTGAATAAATTGTAATTGGTCTAAAAGCTGGTAATTATGTAAAATTTAAAAGAGAAAAGCATCGAGTTAAACTCTATATTTAATGTCCTGAATCTCAACAGTCTTGTTTTTATATTTTGTCGCGTTTATTGTTAAATATAAGATGGCTTCTGTATTTTTATTTCGAGTTAAGTTGAATTTGCTACGAAGATTCTTCTAGCTTATACCATATATATTTTTGTTTTCGATTTTCGGAGAATTAACATTGTTAAATGTAAATGATAATACAATTTCTTATCTTTGTGTAATAAATTAAATGACACTTTGATAAAGCAATTGACGCGATACGTGATCGCATTCGACTCGAGACTTTAGAATGACATACATACATACATACATACATACAACTCGTGTCGTATTGTAAAACGATATTTTTGTAATTACAATGTTCCATGATACGCTGTAAATATAATATTGCAATTAAACGTCAGACGTATTGTCAGTTCATTCTTTTTTCTCGTTCTTGTCAAGATCGAGTCATCCCCCTTTCCAATTTTACCATCGACAACATTCTGCATTTAAAAAACGAGAAAAGACGAGCATACTAATGCACCTTACTTCAAGATTCATGAACTGATGGATAAAACGGTGGGGAAATGTGTTACAGTTACTATGCTCGTAGAAAATTTTAAGCGATAGCTATACTGTTCATCCGTTCGGGCCTTTCATTCTACGACGTGATTGGAGGACCGAAAAGAAGAAAAATGCGAACACCAATGCTTTTTATAAAAAGATGAGAAAAAAATATAAAATGTAAAAATATATCGTTCGATGTTTGATACCAATTATTACGAGACGGAAATTATTACGAGAAGCTTTTATGAGAAACGATGTATTTGTGGAACAGAACACTACGAGTTACTAGTGTTCTGTAAAATATGTAGCTAATTTATTTCGTGCCTTCCTCTTCTATCTATGGTATACACCACAGACGAGGTATAGAATAGATGTAACGTCCAATATATTTTTATGACACACGCTCGAGGGTGTAGCGATCGCTACCTCCGCGCAACTCGAAACAGCGCCACTTACATCCTAAAACCTTCCGTCGCAAGATGAGTTTCCAATAGAACAAACAGCGACTTCTTTTTATAGAAGAAATAAAAAACCCGGGAAGAGTTTTTCTCTCCGTAAGTCAAGGGTATAAAACCTGGTTGCGAAGAGGGAAAAGTTCTTCTATTACTTCTACTACTCCTACTATTTTTGTTATCTTCGCTATTACGGGTAAGAACCATTCTGTACGAAATTTGTAAGCGCACATTTGTGATAATAAACCAAAGACTAAACTGTAAAAAGAATTACGTGTATATTTTTGTACGTGAACCTACGGCAGAATCCTGCCTTACCTACTCAGGTTCCTACAAGGGAAGAAGCACCAGAGCCCCCTTACAATTTTCGTGTCACATCCTACCATACCGATTCAACCGCAGCGCCACGGAACAGAATCGATAAGATAGAAATCGTTTTCATCAGCCGTTCAACTGGAAGTAGCGTAAATAATGCTTTCTAAGATCAACGCGTGGTTCGTGACTAGTAGAACAAAGTGGACTAGGAATAGAAGGAAAATTCAGCAAAGATGGTGAGAAACGTGACCGTACGTTTCTAACGATTAAGCGTCTAAATTAGCAGTGAATAATTGTTCGCGTCGCGGTCATTATGTGAGTGACGATTCATGAGTTTGCAGTCGATATTAATAAACACGGGTCAATTTGGAAAGCAGTACAAAAGTCTGCAGAAACGAAGGTACGGCAGGATGCTTTGTTTATGGAGATCAGCTGTGTTACCAAACATTCCTATCGCTTTCGCTGCAGCGTCTACGACGCTTCTATTTTCGTCGAATAAAGGTCAGCCAAAAGCATAGACAAAAGCGATGCTTGATGCACAAACGATTCGAAGTCGTAATCGAAATATAAAGATTTTCGCAAAAATCGAAACTTTGATTTCACGTGAAAAAATATATTGAGAAGATTCTTCACTTCTTCCTCTTATTGGCAAAACCAAGTCAAATTTTCTATCGTGCGTCCATCGATCGTCTAACTTTTTTTTATTTTCCTTAGTCCAATTAATTAAATATTATCGTTAGATATGTATGCGTCACATGAATATTATTATTAAATTATTGTTATTAAAATTATTAAAATAATTATTATTAAAGTTATTAAAATAATTACCATTATTAAATTATTATTAACAAAATAATTAAAATTTTATGCAATATTAGTTTTGCAAATCAAAGCAAAGGTAGAGAAGCATATTGATTGAGAAAATAAATTGCAAAATTATTAATTTTTTACACATACTTGCAAGAGAATTACACGGGATTAAACAGTATTTTTTTTAGTATTAACAAGCTCTTTGTTACAAAAGATGAGCAATCGATTGAGAAACTCTAATGCAATCTTTAGATAAAGGTAGAGTCATCAAGACATGGATAAAGAGTCTAAAAACAAAATAAAAGAAATAGTGCAAAAGTTTCATTCTTTCTGATGCATATTGTAGTAGAAATGAAAGATAGAATAAAGAAACAAATAGGTGAATATAAATGCATCTTTTGACGCATTAACAAGTTCATTTGGTGGGTGGCTTACATTCTAGATGCTTGTGGAGCAACCGTTGACCGGTAGTTAATTATTCTTAATGACATGTGAGAATGAAACGAGAAACTGTCATTACCTGTGTAGAGCCAAACCGACGAGCAAAAACGGTAAGGCTGTATTTTTTAGGAATCCTTGTATTTAACACTGAATCTCTTTTTTTTCTACCTCCTCAAAAACATTTGGTTCGTCCTACCAAAAAATACATTGTAATCAAATATACTCCTTGTATCGCTTACAAATTTTTGTTTAATTTAACGTGTACGGAATTGAATTGATATATTGGAAAAATAAATCTGCACGAATCGCATTTCTAGATGACGACGGTCTTGGATGGCAGCTACCAACGTATGGAGCCATACAACGGAGAAGAAGAGGACGAAGAGGATGATGACAGGGAAATACCTCAGGAATCTGGTTTTATAATACACGTGGTACCAGAAGGAAATAAGGCTAGATGGAATCACATTGAGGATCTAGATTCATTTTTTACAAGAATGTATCACTACCACCAGAATCATGGTTTTGTTTGCATGATACTTCAAGAAGTGCTTGAATTAGTACAACTCATTTTTGTAATTGCTTTCTCGACCTTTCTCCTTCATTGCGTCGATTACTCCGTATTATTTAAGTAAGATCTTCCGAACAATACGAGCACGATAACGAATGTATGTAAGAAGCTTGATTAATAAATTTGACATATTTTCCTCAGGAACAAGCCTCAAACGTCGCACAAAACGTCGATAAGCGACGTGATTCTCCCATCGAGCGAATGCTTGGCATCTATGGGTCTGGTTACTTGGATTTGTCTTCTAGTGGCAGCAATTTTTTGGATTTTGCGATTACTAAAAGTTGTATATCATTGTATGCAGTATTGGGACATAAAGCTGTTCTTTAATATCGCGTTGAAAATCGCAGACTGCGATTTGGACAATCTCACCTGGCACGAGGTACAAAAGCGAGTCATAGAAGTTCAAAAAGAACAGGAGATGTGCATTCACAAAAGAGAGCTTACGGAATTAGATATATACCATAGAATATTAAGATTTAAAAATTATATGGTGGCTATGATCAACAAATCTCTGTTACCTGTTCGATTAAAAATCCCTGTTGTAGGAGAGATCATTTTCATGACAACAGGATTGAAATACAACATGGAGCTACTTCTGTTTTGTATGATTCTAGATATTTAGACATTTGCGAATTACCTAACTAATTACTAAATATGAATAACTTAACTGTTCTTGCACAGGGGGGCCGTGGTCTCCGTTTGAAAATAATTGGCATCTCAAAGAGGATTACAAAAAGTTAAACAAAAGACAAGAGCTTGCAAGATCCTTGTCCAAGCATATTTTATGGGTTGGAATAGTGAATTTTCTACTTTGCCCGTTGATTTTTTTCTGGCAGATACTCTATTTGTTTTTTAACTACGGTGAGGTGAGTAACCGGTTCGATCCACGAATCATGAATCTCGCGTGTATGTATTTCGTGTCGTAGGAATGAAAATAATCGTATTGAAAAATATTTCTGTCCGAACAGATCATCAAGCGGGAACCAGGAACCTTAGGTACGAGAATGTGGTCTCTATACGGTCGATTATACCTTCGTCATTTCAACGAACTAGATCACGAATTGAATGCCCGTTTAAGTCGCGCGTACCGTCCAGCGTCGAAATACATGAGCATATTTACGTCCCCCACTATGACTGTTATCGCGAGGAACGTTACTTTCGTGGCTGGAAGTATATTGATAGTTTTATTAATATTAACCGTATACGACGAAGATGTGCTCACGGTGGAGCACGTGTTGACTACCATGACTATATTAGGTGCAATAATAGCAGGAGTCCGGAATTTTATCCCCGATGAAAATTTAGTTTGGTGTCCAGAGACCCTATTGACCGCTGTCTTAGCGCATACACATTACAGACCGGACAGTTGGCGAGGTCACGCTCATACTCAAGCCACAAGAGCAGAAGTGGCACAACTGTTTCAGTATCGTGCAGTCTACCTTTTAGAAGAATTAATCTCCCCCTTGATTACACCGTATATTCTATGCTTTCGCATGAGACAACGAGCTTTAGATATCGTAGACTTTTTTCGCAATTTCACAATCGAAGTGACAGGCGTCGGCGATGTTTGCAGTTTCGCACAAATGGACGTGCGAAAACATGGAAATCCAACGTGGCAAACGGACCGAGCTGCCAAATACGATCCAAACCAGTACGTCGCGGATCCGGAGAAGGCTCAGATGCCTATGTCAGATCAATATACGCAGGCGGAAGACGGGAAAACCGAATTATCCCTTATTCATTTCACCTTAACGAACCCCGAATGGAAACCGCCGAGCCACGCTGAGAATTTTGTCGCAGCTTTGAGAGAAAGGGTGAGAAAGGAAGTGCAAAGTGGCATACACGGTGAAATTAATCCCCTTTTGGCAAGCCTGAGCAGTCTGTCTAGCCTAGGACCTGGCGTAAGTGTCGAAATAAACCTCAATTTGAAGAGATATCGAAATCTAACAGCGTCCATTTTAATTTGTCTAATTCGTCTAAATTTCAGTACAACGACATAGTGTCGAATATAATTCGAAGCACAATGGTGAATCAACCAGGTGGACCAACCACGAGTAACTTCATAAACCAGCAGCCTTGTACTTCGCACGTTTCAGCCGCTGGAGATGAACTGTTGAATGTAAAGTCGGATATTTTGCCTCATGCCGTTCAACGTGGTTTGAACAAAGCCGAAGGACCTGTACATAATGAAAAAGGATTCCTATATGGTTTGCAACAAGGAATATCGAATCAATCTCTAGGCGCTTCTGTGTTTGTATCCAGTCACGAATTTTCTACCGATCTGTCTGTACCGGTGGAATTAATCGCTGCCGACATGTCTCTGTCTACATTGTACCTGCATGAACTTCATCACAGACAAGTACGTTTTACAACGTGAATGCATCGTAAATTATCAAAGATACGATTTCATATCTTGAATTCATCTTCTCTTTCTCTTTCTCTTTCTCTTTCTCTTTCTCTTTCTCTTTCTCTTTCTCTTTGTCTTTCTCTCCGTGACATACACTACATTAATAGTGCAATATTAATATAAATATTAATTAAACATCACACTAACTAAAACTAATGAATACAGGTTCGAAGAAGGGGCTATCAAGAATTGCTTAAAAGCATATGGCAACGAAGTCCTGTTCAAGAACTTGCTACGCTTCCTGAAATTAGACAAGAAAGAGCGCCGTTGCTCTTACATCAGGATTCTTCTAGAAGAAATAATAGGGAATTTAAATACGAGATGAACACTCATTTAGATAGCATCTAAACCATTCGTGCAGTGATATCGCCACCATCAACAATGTTGAATAAAATATTTTCATTCGCTTCGCGATGCGACGCCCTCGTGATTTATTTTATAGCAAGAGAATAGAACGTTTAAGAATCTGTGTTATCGATGTAAATACAGTATCGAAATATTCCTTGACTAGATTCTCGTTTAGAAAGTGAAACGATCTCGAATGCCTATTTTAATCTATACGAAGGCCTACGCGTGTGTGCATTTCGTGCAACAAATTACGAACAGAGCTCTTTCCGAAATTCTGCTAGGTTGAATTATTTTCTGCAATATGGCACATGTAACAAACAGATTTCCTTCATCGAAAAAGAATTCGTTACTTGTGTACGTATACACATTACGACGGACAAGAGAAGCTACACTTTCTTCTTTTTCTTTTTTTTTTTCGATAAATGCAATTATAAAGATACGAATCTTTGTGTGTCGTGCGCGCGTATGAGTGTGTCTGTGTGTGATGAAAATCAGCTCTAGTTTTCAATGCCACGATTCTCTAGTCATATAAAATGAAACACACGCCATAGTATAAAGATTATTTATTTCTTAAAATGTAGTTACTCGATAAACACGATGGCTGAACGTTCAGGTCATACACTACGTATACATGTGATACTCGGACGCGAGTATCTGTTTTTAACACTGTCACACAGTGCAGCTAAAATATGAAACTTTGCGTCTAACGAAGGTGCAGGTTGTCACGAGGTATAAGTATAGAAATGACTTTAGCTCGTGTTTATTCTTCTGTTATGTGGTAGCGTACAGCTACTTACAAAATACAGATTCTTATCGTGATCAGACACGATACGATTTACATATTTTAAGGATTTTTTGATTAAAGTGACGCGTAACGAGAATAAATTTTATAAAAAAAAAATTATAGTAACAATAATAATAATATTGATAACGAAATGATATTAATTTAAGGATTCTTTGTAATTTTACCATTATAAAGTGTGACAAATAAACACGTTACGTAATAAATTAGTTTTCGTAAAAACCTGCGAAACTTGTTCATACGTATCGTACACAAATCTACCATATACACGTAAATGTAGCTACAAACGTAGCAGCAAACGAATGTTGAAAAATATGAATATCGAGAGTATTGTAGTAATTACGAAATATAAACACTCACCAAAGCCGCAGGAATTAGATGTTGGGAGACGCCATGAAATACAATTTACGTTGTAATCGGAACATCAGCGAGAAGATGACGAAAAAAGACTTTGTATACGACATTCGTCCACCGATTCAAAGTTCCAGGAAGGTATGTTGCTGCTGTTCACTTATACACATATTTTATAACCAAATTTTCAATGTCCTTTCTCTTTCGATGTTTTAATCGCGCACGAATCATCGAATTATCATTATCACTCTTCGTTTTATTCGTAAATTCGAAAATTTGAGGAACGCCGCGTTTTACTAACGTACATACGATTTGAACGAAACACCAACTGTTTAAAACGAAGATGACGCTACCGGCACAACAAAGCAACATGGCGTCACGTTTACCCGCGGAAAAATTTTCAAGAAATATTGAAACGCCATGAAATTTTATCAAATTACATTGAACATCGGTGTGTCTGTAGTGGCACAGTTAAACGATAAAATTCAAATTACATTTCAAAGTGGTGTGAAAAGAAATGAAGTGTAAAGGACTTTGAAATTAAGTATGTGCAATGTTACTAATGCGTATATATATATATATATATATATATATATATATATATATATACGCATTAGTAGTGTGTAGTGAGTAGAATAAATAAACGTGGTTTTACGTAACCTTAACGAGACTGTGCTCAACGCATTCGAATTCACGATATTTTATATTTCTAGTTTTTGAATAAATACGATTCTTTTTTACATCACTCGTCTGTACACTGTTCAAAATAAAGTAAAATTTCGTGAAAACATTCGAAACGGCCCGCACTGTTCAGAAGCCATGTTTCAACTAACGTCGCGATCATGCGCATTGCGCAATTTTACGTCACATTTGAACATTCATATTCAAAATTCATGAAAAGTTACAGTTTATAAAAGCAATTTTCCATTAATTTCATGAAATTTAATTATTACTTTCAAATTTTACAATAATAATTTTATTCTAGACGAAAGATCATTGAAAACTTGTTATTATAACAATTAATGATAAAATCAGTATTGTAACGGCGGAAATGACGATATTCCTTAGACATTTTAAAATAAACCAAACTGACGTGATTATGACTTTTAATGTTAATAATGTGAATAATTATTTCTTTTTAATATCGAAAATATTTAATTTCGTACTTTTTTAAATATTCTTACATATTTTTATTCACATATATATATGCTATTTTGATATTCTTTTGGCGGTATTGCCAAAGTTGGCGGTTTTTAAAGATGGACATCTTGCCGTACATGTTTATAACGAAGAAAATGTGTTTTTAGTTGGAAGAAGGAAAATATCCAGTCGTATTACCGCTACAGCTCCGAAAAAAGCAATGCACCGATTCGAAAATGCCTCAATACACTGTTATTTCGGAAAAGAACGAATACAACGAAAACGACGATGGAATAAATGTAAGTGGTTCTATTATTTATTATTCAATTAGTATAATCAATTGTATGATGTATTGCAGAATTTGTATTGTTAATTGTATTGTATTATCACTCGTAAAATGTCGATATATTGTCAGTTTTTGTCGATATTGTTTGAATTATAGTCTAAATTATTTGAATTGTAGTTGTCAGAGCAACGAGCCTTGAAATTTGAGTGCAATTTCTGTCACGAACAAATTGCTACACTGCTGTCATTATCCACCCACATTAAATTTCATCGGCGCACATATTGCAAGTACTGCTATTGGATACTGCCGGAGAACGAAACGATGGAGGAGCATATCGAAAATACTCATCGAATCGATCCAGGTACACTTAACACTTAACATATAAATTGACTGTTTATGTGTGTAAATTGTCAATTACGATGAGATTTACTTTTATCATTGACAACAAAACAGTGCGCTTATATTGCTATCACTGAGGTATTGTATCTTTTGAATAAAATTCACACGATGACACATTAGACACAGCCATTTTTAACCACAGTTTTATTATATTAGAATGATCCATTGCAAAAAGATATTTTTAGCAAATCGTACAGTATAGTATCTTTGAAAGAAGAAACATGTCCTAATCCAAGGACACGAAAACTATAAATATTAAATGGTTTAAATAGATACATTCAGTGGCTTGGAACAAAAGTCTTCAATACATGTTCAATATCATCTTGACAGTTTTCATAAATGATAGTCGTTCCTTGAAGTTCTAGATCGTTGGCCAATAATTTAAGATTCTATAAAACAATCATTTTGATTTAGATTAAAAATTACATATATGTATAAGTTTCAATTATGTCGTAATGAACAAAATTACTGATACATGTAGATTAGCTTTTCTTGTAAAACTCTGTATAAATTTATTTAAAAAACGCGGAGAAGTTTCATGTTCTACAGAAATTAAAGTTTCACGCAGAATTTTGCAAGAAAATGCAGTGCTAATATTCATCACTGTATGTATTGTTCAAAATTTTTATTATTCAATAATTTAATTATTAATTAACTTTAATTAACTTGCGTTCGTAAGGATAACTTATGCATCACTTACCTTTGCAACCGTTACGTCGGTCCTCTTCAAATTTTTGCAGTCAAGTATAACATCGAGTGAGTTTCCTTCTGAAAGTTTCATTACGCTAGCTCGGAAATGCTCCGCTGCTGGAAACGTGATACTTTCCTCAGGAATAACGCGAATCACGTTTCTATCTCCTACCTACAGTATAAAAAAGAAAGAATACATGCGTGACCGAATATCCATTTAATATAACGTATCGTACGATTTATCGAATAGGACGAGAATTAGATTCTTCAATTTTTAATAATACTAGAGTGACTGTGCAAGAGCAGATCATTTACTTTACCTGTTCGATTTTGTTTTGAATCGACGGTCGAGCCGAGAAATACAGTAATACTACTAGATTTAACCCTATACCGATCATGATTCCCCATTCTAACTTAAGAAAGACGCAGAATAGCAAAGTGATCAACATGAGGAAAAAGTCGATTTCTGAAAGGAGGCACAACTGTGAGAAATTTTAAATTCATTTGCGTTCATCGCGATTCAATGTATATACTTACTTTTTGCGCGCCACAATAGGGCATACGTTTTAAAGTCGAGCATGTAATACATAGAGCATATTATAACGCCAGCTAAAGTCGCTTTAGGAATAAAACGAAAAGTAGTTGTCAGCAAGCTAGATGCGAGTAACACGAGACATCCTGAAACGAACGAATGATCGCGATCAAGAAAAACTCTTTAAGGAAAACAGGAAACGAATTCACGTTACGACATTTATCTTTCGCTGTCATCTCGTAATAATTCATATCTACGTATTAGCATTGTTTGATAATACGTGTCTTCATTCTCTACGCGTGAAAGTTTAATGATCTGAAATCCGGCGATATATTTTTATATATTTTTTGTTATAACTTTTTAACGAAACTTCAAGGAGTCTGTGTCTAGAAATCGCATTTTCCTTATTTACATTGCAAAGACGTGCTTGCCTGCAAAGTTTGATTGAATGTTTGTCGATTAAATAGATTTTCAACGCTCTGATGAAAAGGTTCAAAACGAACTTGTTTTAAAATTTAAGCACACACATATTTACCTGTAAACAAACCACCGAAAGTAGTTTTCACTCCGGAAGAATAATTGACAGCCGTTCGCGTAAAAGAGCCAGTAACTGGCATTGATCGAGCAAACGAACCGAATATGTTGCACAATCCTAAAGCGAGCATTTCTTGCGTGCCGTCCAAAAATGTTCCCTTTGCTAAAAGTTCGTAGCTCGATCAAAATTATTCATAAAGTAATTTCCAAAATTATATATATATATATATAGATAGATAGATAGATAGAATGAGAGTTTGTTCTTTCGAATATAGATTGTATCATGCATATATACTACGTGAGTATATGACATACCAAAAGCCTTTGCTATCGCCATGTGTTCGATGGTAGAAACGATCGGTATGGAGAAAAGCGTCGTTCCCATAGCAGCGGTTGCTTCAAGGAAATCGTACGTTCGATTGTTGGCTGTTATCGAGAAAGACGGTGGACCGAACGGTGGCAGTCCATTACCCATCGTTCCTAAAAATCATTTATTTTGCTCCATCTGTTCCTCTTTCGCTCGTGACGATACGGTATTATAACGGTTCAACGAATGACCAAAGAACGTGGTTTCTCACGAGATGGATCTTCCAATTATCGTGTTGTTCTCACCGGTTAGCTTGAAAGGCTCTTTATCGTTGATAAAAAAGATATACGCGATCAGAGTTCCTACGATGACCACCAATGCGTTACGCGCTAAGATGCCGGCCCAAGCGATTCTCTGTGGCCAGGTACCAGTCCGACGTCCAGGTAAATTCTTAGATAAAAATCAATATAAAAATTCAGTTGAGAAAATTACGTAGTAAACTGCACTGCACTGCACGTTGATCGTATTGCGCTTATATTATAAAATTTACCTTAAACAAAACCAAAACCACTATCGTTGCAATGCCTAGCAACGTGTCTTGGTATCGGATGCTGTTCAGATTCGAAAATACCGAGACCAAAGAGTCTACCAGATCTTCGCTTCTACCAGCAATTCCTAACAACGGTTTAAACTGCGAGGTGGCTATATTAATGGACGCCGCCGCAGTGAAACCCGTGATGACGGGTAAGGAAATAAAGTCCAACAAAAAACCTGAAATACACGTTGAACTTTTTCGAATGTCACGAAAGATAAGAAGATTAAAGGCTACTAGATTTAAAATGGATATTAACCCGTCATTGTTGTATCAATGCAACGCTTCGTTTAGAATTTTTATTTTAATTCAGTTCGATATTTTTTTCACACAATGGGTATACGTTGATTGCGTATGTTTATGTAAATGTTTACGATCGCAGCTGCAAAGATATTTGAAATTCAAATCGACATCAAAATCCAAATTATTAATTTATTGCATGAATGGAGAAAAAGGTTGAAAGTTTTATTTATTTGATGTTATTTATGATTTTATTTCAAAGGAAATCTGCATACAGAAAATGCACATTCGTTTTTCAGAAAGCAAAAAATAAAAATAGAAGGTAGAAAGAAACTTTTAATTAGACACGAAGAATGAACTCTTCAGATGAAATTTGGCTATTCGCCAAAGATTTGGAAATTCCGAGTCCAGAACACTTTTGAATCTACGTAAGAGTATATCTCAATGAAAAAAAAAAACTAATCACTCACCTAAATGAAAAAGTCCGAGCAACGCGATAATGCAACCCTTTAGAAACGTAAGCAAAATCGCCATGTCGGCACCGTATTCCAGCACTAAAGGTCGCACCATCGTTGCCATAATAGCAGTTGGGCCGATGGTGATACTTTTACAAGAGCCAAAAATAATATATACGAACGAGGCCATGAAAGACGCGTATAATCCATACTGAAGGCAAAAACAAAAATTTAAAAGAACGTGACACTTCTGAGGAGCGAGCAATGAAAGAAGCTAGAGACTAATGAACGACTCGTAAGAAAAATGATCCCTAGAGATAGAAACAGAAATGAGAGGAGTTAGAGTTTCTCTTTGTCTGGAGGAAAGGTAAATTGTATAGAGAAAGATTGCTTTTCTCGCCACTTGCTTTCCTCATTTCAACTTACCTCAGGACTTAATTCAGCGACGATACCGTAAGCGATGCCTTGCGGAACGGCTGTTAGGCCAACGGTGAAGCCGGCCAACGCATCTTGAGCCAACCACGAGAACTTGTAGTCCCTTGCCCACGAAAGAATCGGCAGCCTGCGTTTCGCGTAGTCGTAACAACAGTCCTTGCTGCATCGCGACACTTGAAACAACAGAGGAATGCATGCAAAAATTTCGCTTGGACTTGCGAAACAGCTCGCGAAACTTTGACGAAAAATTCGCCAAAGAAAATTCCGCAAACGATAGTGCGATCTTTACGGACGAAAAAGCAGAAACTTAGTTTTCCTAAACTCTCTGGCCTAAGTTGTGTAAACTCACTTTTCTCGTAAACCGTACTTTTCGCCTTATTCAACATGCTTCGAATTACACTTGGAACACGTCACACTATAAAACACTATGTACAAGCAATTTGCTTCTACAGCGGGTTTAATTTTTATAGTCACGATTTTATAATGTTCAGTTGTTGTCGAGACGATTACATTGGAATTTCTACGAGAAGTTCGGAGAATTTCTACAGAGAGAAAATATTATCGTAATGGAACGATAAAATAAATAGACTTTTGATACGAGATCATAATAGGATAGAACTCTTTTGTCAGAGCAATTATAAGACAACAAGAACTATCTATCAACGTAAGAAACGTGAGCTCGGTGCAAAGCGCAAGCCCGCTCGAGGATACCGCCGTTGATTATAACAAATATTATTGCTTCATACTCTCGAGAAATCGCCGAAGCTCTGACTGTTGGCATGTATTTATCACAGTGTCCCCACTTTCTTCCTCGACGACTATGGACGCTAGCATCTATCTGATATCCAAATTTCCAGCTGTTCCGCTTTTTTAACACCGATGAGAATTATCTATAAGATAAATTAACAAGATAATTAACTTAACTTACAAGAGTCCATTTTCAGTCCATTTGAATGATATTTACCACAGCCATTTATAACAATTTATAAATGATATAATAATACTTAAATGTTATGACTGAAAACATAAAGCGTTCCAATAATGAAACAATTGTTCCACCATTCACTCAAAAGGGTAATTGAGAACAGAAATTTATCGTAGTACAAATTTCAATTAAAAAGTTGAAAAAATTTCTTCGTAGATTGACACGGAGCATTGAGAAGAATACTTTGTTATTGTGAGTCGTCTTGATAGTTAGGCTACTGTTGATCGAATTATCATTCTTTGTTGACTCGTTTGTCTGGCCGATTTCTTTGCACACTTTCGACGAATGGAGAAACTAATGGGACGAGGGCGGAACGCCTGCGCGAGATCCCAGGATACCCGGTCAATTCACAGGCTGGTGATTATGAATGAAAGCTTCGAGCTTTCAGTACCGCGCGAAATAGAGGTCTGGCCGTTTGCTACGTTAGTTTTCGTCCTCCCACAAATAGTTTCATAACCGGTGTTATCGTTGACCCCGTTAATTTATCGATTCCACGGCGGCAAATATAAATGACAAAGTACCATTGACAACGAGACATTAACCTTTTGCCGAGAGATCCAAGAAACAAAAGGACGAATTATTATAAATAGCAGGGATATCTTGGAAGAATATGTGACAAGTTCGAGAATTCAAATTGATTTACAATAAATCAGTTGATTGAAAACTTATCGTAGAATCGGTAAACTTGTAACTTTCTAAATGGCCAATCGAGTGCGCGATGAAACGGGATAATTCAATTGACTTATTGCGACACGCTTCGAGAGGAAAGAAGCTGTTTATTCGGCTCAACTTTGGGAATTCCACGATTCCCTCTTTGATTTTTTCTGATCGAACGAATCGATCTAGAACACTACAGTGAAAACTACAGTGTCTATGTGATTGAAAGTAATAGGTAAGCTATCGTATATATGCGAGAGTTCATTGGTGTTGAAACACTTATAATTACAAGAAATAAGATATGATTATGACGTGAAGAGAATGGCAACGATATAATAAGTCACGTTTTTTTTGTTTTCTAGCAAAAAGCAATCAATTAGATTCGCAAGATTCGCATGGTATAACGCGTTAGTATGATTTTTAGATTAAATGTACGTCCGTTGGAGATATTGATTATCGCACAACTAGATAGTGAACGTAATGCCATTTTTTTAGAATTTATTTCGTACACTAAGTGTATTCACACCATAACGGTGATAACACAGCAGTATAACACTACACAGAATATTATTCTTCGATTTACTTTTGATTTTCGTTACAAAGTTATTATTGTTACAGAATGAATAATTAATTCCTTAAAATTTAACTTACCGATTGTTATGAATTGTAAAAGAAGAATATTTGCTTCTTTTAGCATTAACAATTTCATTAGTATCAAGGAACAAGTGTTTTAGCTCCATAAGCTCGCCTTTTATGAGAGAAGAACGAAAATAACAGAATCTTCTAAGATAAATTTAAGAAAATAATATTTGTATTTTCTTTCAATTTCAATTTGTAGGATTAATCATCGTAGCTTCTGAATAATTCATATCAGATAAAGATTGCAGCGAAAGACGCACAATAAGTCACGCTTTTTCCACTTAGGTATTCTTTTTTATTCATAAATTGATACCAAAATAAAATAAGTTATTGATGCAACAAATCTATATTTTCAATTAAATTCTCCTCGATCAATCCAACCTTGGCTTTGTTATTTTTATTTTAGAACTGTTACAACTATATCTAAACTTTTAAATCTAAACATTATATCGCCTAATCTGTCTTTGAATTCTTCGATCTTAATCGAAATTACACGAGCGTTCGATTTAAATTTGTACACTTGCACGTGGAATATTATTACTCTAGCGATATCGTTTCAGAATTTCCCCTAAATATCACGGATTAGTATCGTTGATAAAATGAAATACTTTACGGATTAGTGTGTATCATACGCGGAAAAAAAATACCGATTGTTGAACAACGTAATTACAAACTAAGCTCAGATATGTATCCATGGTGGCGGAGATAGTACGAGGAAAAGTTATCGAAATATTATCTGCCCAAGTGGCATTCTTATAATTATATTCATTAAGTACTCAAGAAAATATTCGAACACTTGTAGAAAACGCTTGTTGCAATTAATGAAAACACAAGTACGATTCACTTGATGCACAGAATTTTTTAAAACGATTGAACACTTACTGTATGAATGTAAAAGATCTGTTCTAGAAAAAGGACTGCGTTAACAGCAGACGAGTTCTGCACTACATATATAATATGATTACGCAACACGTTACTCGTATTCAAAGGTTTTTGTAAGTGTTTGAATGAAAAACACTTTGCGAGTACGCATTGGATTTTTGTACACACATTGGATTAACCAATGTTTCGTTATTTGTGCATAATCACAGGAATAACGTCTGTACCAACAAGGTGCAATAGCACAAAAGCTATGCAACAGCACGTTCTACCGCTTGCACAAAGTCGTGACTTGCACGCGAAAATTCCAAGGCGTATAAACTTGACTTTAAATGATATGCAAAATAATGGAAATCAATTCTAATTTTCTAACTAATGTTAGCACGTTCAACTTTTTTACTAACAGAATTTACAGCCAGCGCCTGAAAGCCAATTCATTTGTTATAAAGTAACTATATAGTAGTAAGTAACTATAAAGTAATAGTACTTTCGTACTATAAGTAACTATAAGTAACTATAAAGTAATAGTACTTTCGTACTATAAGTAATTATAAAGTAATAGTACTTTCATACTATAAGTAACTATAAAGTAATAGTACTTTCGTACTTTCAACGATCTAAAGCAGAAAACAATTGTCTCAACACGACGTGAGATTATCTTTTCGAAAATGAAAATTCAATAGAATGCGTAACGTAATCTATAAACAACGCTCAAGCAAATCACTTCGCTATTTATAGTAACGTTGTAAAGTAATGTTTGCCTGTTTCATCATTAAATGCAGAACGCTTAATTACGGTAGGAGAAGCAAATTTTTTTGCATTTTCTTTTCATAAAACCTGGATGTTTTTTCGTAATTATCGGTCGCTTTCCATTTTCCACTGTCCTCGTTAGACTTAAAAGCAACCGGAAGGAAAAAAAGGGTTTCGTCGAACTATGTGGAAAGGTTCGACCAAGTTTCATGAAATTTCATTTGAAGAAAACGTCGAAACAGTCGCAAACAACCTTGAACGACACTTTTTGTGACGCGACCAAACTTACGCCTCGAATGATGAAATTTGTTCAGGAGTGGAAATATATATAGATTTCTCTAATTTTAATTCTAATTCGTAATTATCAGGATACCTCCTAATCTTGTATGTATAGAACTTGATTGATAAATCATATTAATAGATTAGAGATTATCATCTCCTTTACTCAACGTTAAGCCAAATTGGAAATTTACTATTCCTTCGTCACTTCTAAAATCAAATTCTTCCAATTAGTAACTGCGTTCACGAAGTTGCAAATTTGCATTCGTAGCAAATCTGTGGTAATAATTGTGGTTATATTTCTTGTAATCTCTTTGCAGAATGATTGACAGCCGTGACGTCGTTGTCATTCATGAAATTCATGGTAAAAGAAGCTCGATGGACAACGAAACTTCCTTGCGCGATATATCTCTGAACGAGGAATACATTCTTGACAGAACCGATATCAGACTAATTTTTATTACACTCTACACCATCGTCTTCGTTTTCTGCTTTCTCGGTAAGCGATCGTCTCGATCTAGATCGATCGAATTGTCACTCAAATCCCCAAGACAATTTCGCCCGTATTCATGTCACGCGCTCTGAAGTTTACCATCGATCATTGACAAGAAGGAAAGCAGCAAACATCGTGCAAAGTAATAAAACTTGTTCTTAAGTGAAAGTATTCAAATTCATTTATAATGTAAATACTAGCGTTGTACCGCTTGTCACTCGAATTAAAGTACGTGGCTACATTTGCTTATATTTGAAAAAATGTAATTTAATATTTCTTAATTCGGGACAAATGGATGATCTTTTCTGATGGAATGTTGAAACGGCTCACATTTTGAAGAAAGGAACGTACCGAGAAGAACCCGACCGTACATACCTGTGTAAGCTCAGGACCGTATCTTTGAATTTTGCTTTCAGGTAACTTAATGGTGATCTTTGTGGTAACGTTTTCACGACGACTGCGAAGCATCACCAATTTCTTTTTGGCGAATTTAGCGGTGGCCGACTTCTGCGTCGGTGTGTTTTGCGTGTATCAAACGTTAACGAATTACTTGATGAACAGCTGGCCACTCGGTGACGTCCTTTGCAAAGTGTACATGTTCGTTCACGCGCTTTCCTACACAGCCAGCGTTTTAATTCTCATGGTGGTTTGCATCGAACGATACCTGGCTATCGTTTATCCGATTAAATGCAGATCGGTGCTGACGAGAAGCCGACTACAACTCGTAATAGGAATAGTTTGGATCGTTGCCGCGGTCTACGCTCTCCCGCGATTCTTCTACGTCGAAACCATGGAAAATCGTTTAATCAACGGCGACGTGGATGTCATTTGCATAGCCAATATCCAGAAACACAACAAAACTTTGCTGGACGCCGTGAACCTCGTCTTTCTTTACTTACTTCCGCTGCTGCTTATGTCTTGCCTCTATTCGAGAATTGCCGTCGGATTACGAAGAAGCGGCACCACCCTCGGCGGATCAGGCTTGGCAACTAAAAGCAAAGACGATAGCCTTCATCGTGTCCACAATTCCAGTAGAAATGTGCTTCGCGCTAGACGCGGTGTAATAAGGTAAGCGTTATATTTTTACTGCTAGATTGCAGACTTTTTTATCTCTGCAAATTCGTATCTTTATGAATGTATACATAAGTAGAGAACCGAGAGAATCCCTTACCGATTCTCGGTAATTTCACTCGGTGTATATCACGAATTATATTTATATCTATAAAGTATCGTCAACGCCGGCTTGAGAATTGAAAATTAAAGGAGACGAAATTTTCTAGAATGCTGATCGCAGTAGTGATGACGTTTGCCGTGTGCAATCTGCCGCAACAAGCACGAATCGCCTGGCGTCATTGGAGCCCCAGTTATGATCGGTCATCGAATTTCAGCACACTTCTCACCTTGTTCACTTTCTTAATTTCCTACACAAACTCCTGTCTAAACCCTTTTCTATACGCTTTCCTTTCGCGCAACTTTCAGAAAGGCATGAGAGAGCTGCTCAATCGCAGAAAGACAAGAAACCGAAGCAGTGTTTTAATCATGGGACGCGCCGCAGGAGGAGGAGAGACAGCGACGCGACAGGAAGACGACGGAGGGAACGTAAATCATTTCCGACAAAATTTACTCTCATTTCATTCCGATCGAGACAGTTCCGTCGCACTACCGCCGAGTACAGAGCAAACTATTTGCGAAAAAGCTAGCCAATAACTATTTACTGGTGAAACTTTCATCTACCCACTTGTTGGGAAAACTCGTCGAAATTAGGTTATTTGCGTATGAAATGGCCAGAAATTTCAGAAATTGTTCAGAAATTTAACAAATCAACGGTATAAGTTAAATTCCTAAGAAAAATTACCAATTGTGAGCGAATGTTAGCCACGCCGCCCGTTCCTAGGCGTGGGAAAACTTCCTTGCCTATTCGATAGAAGAGGCCATTCAAGGTTAAGGACCATGTGCCATGTTTGTGACGGATGCCCGTAAAACAGAGCTCGGACCGAGGGATATATATACCCGAAGGAGTGCACAAAGGGGGTGCTCAGTCCGTCGGCAGAACGTCACCAAAGTCTAACGTCTGAGTCAGTCTAGCACGAAAATATACACTTTGTTATAAACGAGAATTGCCTTGTAAAATTATTGCCTACACAATGTTTAAATTAATGCACTGTGTTGCAGTAATTCGCAGCGTTAATTGATATTCCAACAACGACGTTCGGTAAAATTCTATTGAGTATTAATAATTTGGCCATTTCATCCGTAACAACCTCATAAAACAACCTTTTTTCAAGTTCGACGCAACCGAAACGAAGATTTTTATGTCAAATGGCTTTGTTGTCTTGTTAGTATAGAAAGCGAGATATCGTCCCTGTTCAGATATATCTCACTGTATTTCAACTTCCTTCGTTCTCTTTTTACCAATTAATACAAAGGAGGATGATACGATTGTATATATGTATACTTATGTATAAATTACAAAAGAATACATAAATACAGACAGTGGAGCTCATGACTTTTATATTATTCTCCCAGAGGAAGTTGCATCAATAAGAGATCACGCTACTCGAGCCTCGAGCCTCGAGTCTCGTAACGGATGAAAAATTGATTACCAAGGCCAGGGTTTTGCACAGTTAAACATATCAGTGAAATTTTACAAATTGCAAATTACCGTATAAATTGTTTCAACATCCTTTGGACATGGTAAAAACTGTAAGATCGTAAAAAGAAAGTCAGTATCAATTTACTAGTATTATTAGCTAGAAAATTATCGTACAAGATAAATTGTACAAATGTAACAGAGTCGATCGACGAATTTTCGAAATGACGAACCGAAAGAGTAGATTCGCGGTTGTCGGTGAGTTTTCCAGTTACAAGGAACTCGCATTAATCTAACTTGCGGTTGGCATTTGGCACCGGCACAAGTGATTTTAGTTGCGAAACGAATTTTTACGAGAGTCGGGAAAAAAAGGAGGAAATAAAATAAAGAACGGAATAGAAGGATAGCCAAGAGGAACCTATGCAGTTCCATCGTGAATTGAACAGTATTCTTTGTAAGAAACTTTACCAATAGTCTAATTTAGTATAGTACTATGTAGGGGGCACGACCCAGGCAGTACTATGACTAATACAATAAATATGTCGCCTTCAACGACGTAGACCCTGGGACGCAGTACCTTCAAGGCCATGAGATAATTGCCAAACCTAATCCTCATGGCCCTGACCGTGGCCAAGTTTCCAATGAAGTGAAAAACTGCCAGACCCTTCGACCTGGAAAAGATACAATAGAGTCGAGGGTATATAAGACCCCCGACTCCAACGCAGTTCTTAGTTTTTCGAAGTTCGTCCGTCGTGCTGTACACGTCTCATACTGCTGCACTCGTAAGTATTATTTTGTTATTATTAGTGTTTGGACGACAAGTCCGTTGTTGTACAATGTTACAATTTGTAAGTAAACGTTACTTCAATCATTTTATAGTATATAGTTAACTATGGCCAACGAAATATCAAAATTTCATAAAAGTGATACGATTGTAATGGGATTCTCTCACTATCCCGAGCACTTTTTATCGATTCATCGTTTTCTTTCTCATTCCCAGCCAACTCTCCATCTCTCGTCTATACGTTAATCTATCGTTACTTTTCCGCTCTTCCGCTCTTTCCTCTTTCCCTGTTTCTGTCGAATCATGTGAGCCTTATCTGCGTATTTTTTTTTTCTTTCCTGCTATCTCGTCGAGGGGTCCCGAGTTCGCAGTCAAGTAACCGGTTAACTCCGGTCCATCGATTTCTCCATGCAGCTTGAACTGGCTTTTTTTCTTTTTTCTTTTTTCTATCAGACAATGAACGATCTTTTCTGTCAATAAAGATACGCACTCACTTCCATCTTTCTCGGCATCTATCGACGACCGTGGCATCACGGCTGCTGAGAGAAATCGATTAGGAAATTGTTGCTTCAATCCCTCAACGCAGAAATGTTTCTTCTATCGGTGAATTTGTTACAATAAGAAACAATAAGGAAAGTTGATTTTTGAAATTCGTTTTACGATTAGGCTGCAAATTCTTGTGAATTTACAGGAAATCTGAAGCGACACATATATCGAAGATAACAATTAATTCTTTTCACAAGCTAGAGCTATTACAGAGAGACTAGCATAGAGCAATAATCTCTTCAAAAGTTCATGTTGCCTGAATGTTAATAATTAAACGTATTCGAATGATTTCGCAAGTCTGTGTACGTTCAAAGTTCGACTATATAAGAAATAGAACGTCGCGCCGCGTTAATGCTCGTAATACGCGCTGTGCTCGGTTTTATCTGTCAAGTAACACAAACATGCCAAGAAAAAATAAGCACATGTTCCGCGATAACAGCGTAATAATTATTGTTATTGCTAAATCGGACCCCCAGCAGGAGTTGCGTCATGTAACATTAGATGACCCCGGAATGGAAAATATACATATTTCGCGGTATATAGCCGACGTATCGCGGTATCACGTGTAACGTTCCCTTTTTCTCTTTCTTCTCTTCCTCTCCTTTTCTTATACGATTCCCAAACGCAGAACGATCATTTCAATGTGACAAATATGACAGAATTTTCTTTCACCGGTCCGCCGGTGTTTCGCGTTATCGTAATTGTCAAATTGCGAGCGTTTTACACGTATTTTCTAGGAAACTGTGAGTACAGAAACCTGTTTCGTCAAATATGCCAAGGGGACGAGTTAACCTGAGTTGATTCTCTGTCTGTTTTGCAGGATTCTACTTTTCGAGGTAGACTGTGAAGACAACTCGACTGGAATTGGAGAGTTCGAGAGCAGAGAGTAAAGGTTGGAGGATTCTGGTATCTCTAGACCTTTTCGACTCGGTGTGTTTGGCTTTCGGCCGGGAACAATAAGAAGAGTGACGGGTAGACGCGCGAGTTTCGAGCGAGTGGGGACACCGCTATAAGAAGATAATTCACCAAGGAGCAGACAGTTTGTGGTTGGAGCCGAACAGCGGAGTGTGTTGGGTGCTTTGAATCGTCATTCGCATATTAGAAAGCATTTTTACAAGGTATGTGTCAATTGACGCGACGTTACATCTCGTCCGTTAAACGCGAATTATATCTACACGTACAGTGGCAATAAATACGTACCTAGTCTTACTCTTCCAATGAAATCTTTTTCTTTTTCTTTTTTTTTTTTTATTATCAGATTTTACATTTCTTTTCCTGATAATTGTTATTTATATATTTCTTGACCGACGAAATTGATTAACATTGCAAATGCTGCATTGAACACGACGATGCCACTGTACGTAAGATCGCTCACCGCTGGTAACGTATTCCAACGTTAGTTTTCCATCGTCGAACCACAATTTTTTTCAGTCAAGCTTTCTATACATAGTCCACTTACATAACTCGATCGTTGTTCATTAATTCTCGTCTCGCGCAAAGTTAATTCATAGAGTTAGCAACGGGCCAGCAACAGAGTGGAATTCGTCGTCTTAGCATCAGTTTTCGGAGCTCGCGAGAAATTTGAATGTGAAATCGAACGACCAAAATAAATACACCGGTTTGCTTAAAAACAAGTGGAATCGAGGTATCCTAACAGATCCGAAGGTTAAAGCTGAAATTGTGAATTTGAATAATTCTAAGACGTCCTTGTGACAATAACCTTACGATAATTAGGGCTATTATAAAGGAAATTTCTCGCGTTCAATACGTTTCCTCGATTTTGTGAGATTTAAAGAAATTCGAGTAGTTTACAATATTAACTATTGCTTAATCTTTAACGGGTGAAAGTAATTACTTTATTTTACCGGTACTTCGAAATCTGTAACATCCACAAGCTGCTAGAAATCGGGAAGTTACAAATTATTATTATACGCGTTACTGGCGGAAATCTACATAAACACACTGTGTAAACACGCTCTCAACGGCTCTGTTTGTTCAAGGATAACATGTCGATCACGCTCAAAAGCGTTTGCATAAGCGATCCTGTGGAAATGCGTTGCGGAGAGCTGCTTGCTCGCCACGACATTCCAGTCGCCATCAAATACAAGATGTCGAAGCAAGAGCTGATAAAAGAACTTCAGGTATACGTTCAGAGGATTCTCAAGACGTTTTCTCATTTTTTTCGACTGACTAGCGCCTAGCAAGATTCCCTTTTCAAAAACAATTCAATTTTCCTTCGCGCGATTTAATGTCGAGAGACTGAGATATCCCAAGATATTGGTCGATATTGTCGGAAGTATTTTAGCAACATATTTTAACAACGCGTTTCGCTATTCGCTTTCACGCCCCTATTTCCCTTCTTTGATCTCGCGTAATTGCCGCTTGCATTCAATCGCCGATACACAACCGGCTAGATCCAGTTTAGTCGTCAAATACGAATACCGGTTTGGCTACACGGGTCGTTGTACTTGTCTGTCTCGAGTCTATCGACTCAACCGATTCCTCCTTCCGATAACGAGTCTGCAGTTGTATTACGCGCGTGAATCAATTTCCGTGAATTTACTCTCGACACGCGATCCATTTGTCAGAATAAGCGCGAAAAGAAGAAAGAAAATGCATTTATGTATTCGTACATTTGTCGACATCTTTTGCGAACACACGTGTATACGTATAATAGGTAAATCATGCCTCGTCGAATGTCAAAGTAACGCAATCGTACAATCTTGTTGATTGTTTTATTCCGAAAGAAGCAGATTATTTATTTATTCGGTTTTTCACGGGAAAAGAAGAAGACTATAATGATAAATAATAATATAAAGAATAATATAAATATATTATAATATATATAATTATATATATATAAATATATTATAATATATATAATTATATATATATATAAATATATTATAATATATTTATATTATTCTTTACATTATAAATATAGTATATTATAGTACATTATAAATATAGTATATAAAGAAATACTCATTAGTTTAAATGAAATGAGGTATGAGACTGAGTGAGAAAATTATTCGAGTGCATTTTTCTTTATAAAACTGTAACCTTAGACTTTGGCGCGGACAAGTAACAATATCGTAACATTAACAAAAATCTCGTTGAGATGTCGGTATCAGATATAAATGGTAATTTATAAATATAGTTTTGAATTTGGCCATTATTTCACACGTGAATAAATTCCAAAGATATTACGATAAGCGACAACGATAAATAGTTTTGCAAACTGCTGCAAGTAACGTGTTACTCGTGCAATTATACGTACATGTGTCTATGTATATGAAACAGAATCACGAAGGGCTGATCGTGCGATCGGAAACGAAGGTGACCAACGAGGTGATTTCCCGATGTCCAAAGATCCGTGTCATCGGCCGAGCAGGTACTGGCGTCGACAACATCGATCTTCAGGCTGCCACGAGAAAGGGAGTCATCGTGTTGAAGTATGTCCACTCTTTTCTCTTCTTTTTTTATCTTCTCTCTCTCTCTCCCTCTCCCTCTCCCTCTCTCTCTGCGGTTTTCAACTCTCCAACGCGCGCGTTGGAAATACGCAAAGAGTCCAAACCAAGCATCGAACGGCTAGCCAAGATGATCGATGAAAATGCCAACGTTGTCTCGTAACTTTTCAGTACTCCCGGTGCGAACAGCATCAGCGCCTGCGAGCTGACGTGCACGTTGATCTGCAGTTTGGCGCGAAACGTTCCTCAGGCAGTTCAGTCGCTGAAGGAAGGACGATGGGACAGAGCACTGTACATGGGTTTCGAGTTATCGGGGAAAACACTGGCAATAATCGGAATGGGACGCATAGGTCGCGAAGTGGCTCGAAGGATGCAGGCGTTTGGAATGAAAGTGGTCGCCTTCGATCCGTTGCTCACGCAGCAGGCCGCCGAGCAGATTGGCGTTGCGAAACTCTCTCTGGACGAAATATGGTCAATAGCCGACTACATCACCGTGCACACGCCGCTTACTCCTGAGACGAAAAGTAATTGCGTTCTACCATTTAGTTATTAGTATCGTCTATTCTACTCGTAACGAAATACTTTCAAATACCTTTCAACATCGTTACAATTATTTCAACGCCAACGGCCACAGCGTCGAAGAAATTTACAAATTGATACTCTTTGGCGCAGATCTGATCAACGCCAAGACGTTAGAGAATTGTAAGCAGGGAGTGTACATCATAAACGTAGCCCGCGGTGGTATCGTGAACGAGGAGGCATTGCTGAATGCGTTGGAGTCGGGTCGTTGCGCTGGCGCAGCTTTGGACGTGTTCAACGAAGAGCCACCGAAACACCCAATCACTTTGGAGTTGATTGCACATCCCAAAGTCATCGCTACTCCTCATTTGGGTAATAAAAGAAAGATTCGCATTTTTCCATCCGTTCAAATGACGTAGACACTTGCAACTCTAAAGAGCAGTGCTGTTGCAACGGAGATATTAAAACTAAGTCACAGAATACGAATTTATATATCGTAATTTGAACAATTTTGGTCACGAATCTCTTTGTATGCATAATGATATGATATGATATATTTTGCCTTCTCTTGTAACTTTGTCAATGTCGTCTTGCACAGGAGCAAGCACCGAGGAAGCTCAGCAGCGGGTGGCCGAAGAGATGGCCCAACAATTTATAGCGATATCCGGCAAATCGACGAAATACGCAGTTACTGGAATCGTAAACGCACCGGTGTTACAAGCTGCAATGTCAGGTGAAAATGCATCGTGGATCGAACTGTCGAAGAAGCTGGGCGAATTGATTGGTCGATTCTTAAAAGAAAAGCTGGACGTAACTGTACACAGTCAAATAGTCGGCGGTGCCAGCATGCGAGAAAAATCGTTCGTTCACACGGCCGTTCTCGTTGGAATTTTATCAGGGCAAACAAAGAACGGTTTGAACATGATAAATGCACATATACTGGCTAAGGAGAGAGGCATCAAAATGGAAGAAAGCTACGAGGAATCAGCCGATGTCGAAGCGATCGTTGTCCAGACTGATGAAGATCACTTGATCAAAGGTAAGACTACGAAACATGACGTATACTTTTTGTTCTGCGTTGTAAGTGAAAATGTGCAAAAAGAGTGACAGGAAGGAAAATTTCAGGAACCATCCGTGACAACAAGTCGCTGTTACTTTCGCTTAATGATGCACACTTCACCAATGGAATTGCTCTAACGGACCACGTCTCCTTCTATCAAACGAACAACGTCCAAGATCTAGCACAAATCGTGAGCGCCTTCTCTACGAAAGGCATCAACATTTGCAACGTGAGTGTCAATGGAAGCTGGACGGTGATTCAAACCGACAAAGAAGCTTCCGTGTGTGTTAACGGCATCGAATCCTTCTAAAATTCATCGTCGTTCAAAATTAACAATTACAAGAAAAAAATCGCAGTATTTCGAAACCTAGTACAACTTAATTTCACACAAGTCGGTAACACGTCGTTCGACTCTATTATTTGTTGCTCGAATAAAAAAATTATCGGAAGAAAGAATAGACTGGATTGTTTTCATTATAAATCTCATATACGTATACATGTATTGAAAACTAAAAATATACAAAAAGATATATATATATGTGTGTGTGTATGTAGGTTGAGTGTGCATACGTGCACGTGTGTATATTACGTTACATGTATACGCACTAGTATTTTTTATATTGTAATTGTTTATTAATAAAATATTATCACAAAATAACCAGCATTTTTTTTTTGTATGTAATATAATTAACACGTATCCAACAACTTTCGCGCATAAAATTTTCCACAAACACACACGTACCAAAAAAATATGAGAAATGTACATGCCCGAGTCATTGGTAACTTTACACGATAAAAAATTGTTTATGCGCTCGTTGACTAAATTGAAGACTTTTCAGAGTAATCTATCGAACTTACATCTTACGTCGATCATAGAAAACGTAAGATTATATTCTTTCGTAGCTATCTAGGCGGCAACAGTTGAATGTAAAAACGACTCCATCCTGCGGGAATAAAATTAAATCAGTGGCGAGGATGAGCAATAAGAAAATCTACATTGTTTTTACTTTGTTGTTGTTCTTACTTTGACGAGTGAGGGAAGATTTCGCCAAAATTCGTGATTAGGCATCATTTCCCAACCTGTTGCTCCTCTGAGTAACTTCAATGTTAGCGCTCCACCGATGAAATAAACTCCAAACGCAACAGAGAAGTAAATCAACAATGTAGAACCGACAGAAAGGCTATTGGTACGCATCATCACTTTACAGGCATAAAGAGATGACAATACTAGATGCTGAAACAAAAATGAGAGTTCAAAACAGAGAGAAATATACGTCAATCTTTTCTGAAATACTATTTAAAACTTACAAATTCAGACTCGGATTTGATAGCCTCCACATACAAACGTGTTTCACATAAACTACAACAGGCTAGGGCTATAATTATTGTGATATTATTATGATGAAACGTTAAAACAGGCGGTTTTGAATTGTCCATCTCTAAACTTATCTCTGTGTCCTCTGCCTTACCCAAGAAAAAGAATTCATTGTTCTTTGTGGCACATAACTGAAATGTGGACAATACGTTATGTGTAATGCAATATTTAGTGCACGGAATTTTTGTAATTCCATTACGTGTTTCATACTTTTTAACATTTCATTGGTAATAAAATGACACTGCTTTGAAATCAATTTGAAAATCAATACGAGTAGCACTCACAAAATATTTATCGCAAGATAGAGTTAAGTAAAAGATCAGTATGACAAATAATAGTCTAAAACACATAATTAGAGCAATCTCGTTAAATATTGTGGCTTAATAATACTATGAATAACTGACTATTCAAAAATTTTACGAGCTTTTGTGCAACAAGCTCCTTAGATTCTAGATAGTTGCATCTCTTTACAGTGCCAATAAAATTTCAAAACATTTCATGTAACACATAATATACAAATTTTTTACATAAATGACCAAATATTTTGTACGCGTGCTAAACTATGGTAAGACTCAAGGAAAAGAGAAAATTGTGCAACGACAAATCAATGGAACATCCTCTTACAGATACACCATCTCCTTTGTAACATTCGCTCGTTCTATTGTCCGATAGTGGCTTGTTCGTGCAAGGATGAAAGAAAAAAGTGTAATTCAATTTTGCGTCGAATGCTTTTAGAGGCCTAAAAGAAAACGTTTGTCATTAGTTGGAAAGTAACACGCAATACGTGAGAAGGTTAGGATGCTCGATCTACCAACATTGAGTCAACCAGCGGCATCAAACTGTATCCTTGCCGGTTCGAGAATATGCACGAGCAAGGTGTTAATTGTTTACATTCCGAGGACGACTGCTTGCAAAATAGGATTAAGAACAATCCGAACACAAACAAAATCTCTTTTTTCTTGATCATCGTCATCGAATCTGATTTACGGATTTACTATTGTCCACTGTCGATCAAAACATTCCGTGCACTGGCACTGTTAATTCCTTCGACCGCCTGACAGCTATAATTGTAAAATATATTATATATATATATTTTAAACAAAACAAACGATTCCATTTAATTACATTCCATTCTGTGAATACGATGCATCATCGTGACTCACATCTTCGGAATGATCTTTTACAATTTTATCATGTTCGTGTCAAAATTAATTTCTAAAAATTAAAGAAAATACTATCCTGTAGCTGATTAGTTTTATAACTTGTTATCCTTGTTAATTTGTGACGTAAGAATTACATGCATGTGTTTAGCTGATATCTCTGTCTCTGTTTATCTTACGACTTTTTTCATAAAGATACTTATCAAAATAAAAGAAAAAGAAAACTAATACGTCGTGGTTCGTCTATGATTCGTGGAGACGCAGTGATATTTTTTGTAGATTGTTAAACATAACGCAATAATGCAGAAATTTAAATATCAACGAAAGAAGGATGATAGGATCTGTTGTACGGAAATTAGAAATAAAATTTATCGAATTGTAGGCGAAATTTCTGGACTACTCAAGGGTCAAGTTAAAATATAAACTCTCAGAATCCTCCTTCGTATAATGTTATACTCATTTTTCACGTAATTAATTAATTATTTACAATTAATGTGAGGAGTGCTCTTTTATTTGGACATGGTGGCGCCATCCAGCGTTAAACTACTCGTATTAATAAATTTTAAAAATGCTTATTTAAGCATTTTAGAGGACAAATGGGGCATGAAAAGAAAGCTGGAAGTCTAATTAAGAAGGTACAATCGCAAAAGTTCACAAATTAATCCTCTAAATTAGTTTATTTGGCAACTGAAAATTTGTTCGATTTATGGACACTGAAACGCTAGTGCCGCGTAGCGGTGAAACGGTGGAACTAATCGCTATCGCTGTCCTTGTCGCACAGTAGTGCGTTCCTTGTCTACGAATGGTGCTGCCATCTGAGCCAGTTAATTTTTCATTGGAACTAAAAGGGCAAATTGGAAAAATCCGATAGATGGCAGCACTTGTTCATAGACAGGGAGAGCAACAGTGTGCGACAAAGACAGAGATATGTTTGCGCGTCAGACAAAGAGAGAGATACTGTGCGACAAGGACAGCAATATTCCAGCACGTCAGACAAGGAGAGAGATGTTGTGCGACAAGGACAGATATATATACGCGCGCCTGACAAAGAGGGACACATTGTGTGACAAGGAAAGCAACATATTTTAGTTCACGATTTCACCGCTACGCGACGCTAGCATTTCAATGTTCATAAATTGAAAAAATTTTCATTTGCAAAAAAGACTAACTAAAGGGATAAATTTATAAATTTTTGCGATTATTTCGTCAGAATTAGATCGTCAGCTTTCTTCCTATATTTCATTTGGTCTATAAAATGCTTGTATAAATACTTGCAAATTCTATTCAGTAGATCAAAGCATTGGCAGGAATAATATTTCAATTCTCGTAAGCTTCATTCGAAATTTGAATTAAAATTGATCTTGATCGCAGTTGAAAAAATAATTGGAGACCATAATTATGCAATCCAGTCTATGAGGGAACTTCTTTTATTCCATATCTCAAAAATTATGGAATCTAGTAAGCAGTCTAATTTATACAAAGTATTTCAATAATTATGTTCTAACTGTAATTTTTTATTTAATTTTCAGGGTGTTAATTCGGCATTGACTACATACTTTTTTGGTCAAAATATGAAAAGAAAGTTGACTATTGATAAATTCTTGGAGTTTCAACAGCAATTGCAAAGAGAAATACTTAGTTTAGAAGTCAGTTTTAAAATATTACATTAAAAATCTTGAATATTTATTGTAATAAATTATCATATTTGTTTGTTCATGACTAAAGAGATTAAAAATAAAAATTATTACAAATATATTTTTCTGCTTCTTTTCTATAAAGATTGATATATCAATTTTATAAAATGTTTTTCAATAAATAGTAAAATAAAAATTTTATAATAAGATAAAATCCATCATAGCATTTATAATAAAAAGTTTATTTTATTTTTTCTAAGATCCATTTCAACAATTTCTGTTATATACACAAAGAATAATAATCAATAAATGAAAAAAGATAAATTGTTACAGTTTGAGAGAAGAAATCCTGATGAAAATGGTCGAATAATCGAAGTAGATTTTACAGAATTATTGCTTGCATATGCTGGATATCCAGACAAAAAGATAGCAAGAATTAGGAAAACTGTAAAAAAGCGGTATGTATATAAGAAAACATTATAAATGAAAATTAAAAAAAATTTTTAAATTTGAATATTACTTTCAGTTTTAAGGATAATCCAAAAGGAATATATAAAGACGAATATTTAAAATTTTTCCATTTTTTAAATAACATTAACAACGTAGATATAGCATTAACGTTTTATCACATAGCTGGGGCATCAATTGAGCAAGGTGTGTCATAACATCAAAATATTTTTCATAAATTGAATTTTCTATTTCACTGAATTGAACTTCTTAAATTTCTTTTTTATATATTTGTCATCTCTGCAAATAATGCATTTATAATATATATTTATTTTTATTTTATCAGTTACCTTAAATGGCAAAAACAGTGGCTCATGTTGATCTTAGTGACCATGTAATACAAGTTGTTTACACAATTTTTGACGAAAACAGTAAGTTTACAATACAATGCAATACAAAGGATATTTTTATTTTATAGATCTAGTGTTTAATATTTGACATATTATTATTAATTAACATACTTTAATATTTGACATATTATTATTAATTAACATAATTTAATATTTGACATATTATTATTAAAAACTTTATACTATTGAACAAGTAATATCCATTATTTTATCACTGTGTGTGGTAACATTCTACAAAGTATGTCTCCAAGTATGAAGTTTCTAATATAAAGGCTTTTAGGATATTTACATCATAAATCTACATCATAAAACAATTCATTAATTTTATAGTAATAGCATTCTTTTTTTTGTTAATTTCTAATGGATGGTCAAATGAGTAACAAAGAATTTGTTGCTGTAATGAAGAATAGATTTCTAAGAGGATTAGAAAAGTCAAAAGGTTTTGTCAAACTAATTGAATCAGTAGTAAAATGTTTAAAAGTCAATTATAATATGCATTTTGATAATTAAAACACAAGAGAATTTAAAAGAAATATGTATTAATTGTTAATAATTAGTAGATTAAATAAAGATTGTGTGCGTAAAGCTTTTATGTATTCCATTAATTATGTTTACAGATAAGTGAAATTTTCGAATTTCAAATATAGTATGCTAAAAAATTAAATGCTACTAAAGCAAGTATTTTGATTTATTTCAATCTTTATCTGTATCATTACATATGTTAAAAGAACTATAAGAATAAAATTATAAAAGTTCATATAGTAATCTGTTTAATTAATTCTTTTACCAATCAAAATTTGTGAAAGTGGAACTAACCTCTCCATAGTATAATTAGGGAAACAAATTTTATCAGTCTAAAAACAGAATTTTTAAACTACCCAGAAATCAAATTAACTTACAAAAACATTCTTTGCAAAATATTATACCGATTTGTTATGAAATTAATTAATTAATTGCATTTAGAATAAATTGTTTGGTTTTTGGACATGGTGGCGCCATCTAGCGTTAAACTACTGGTACTAATAAATTTTAAAAATGCTTATTTGGGCATTTTAGAGGTCAAATGGGGCATGAAAAGAAAGTTGGGAGTCTAATTAAGAAAGTACAATCGCAGAAGTTCACAAATTAATCCCCTAAACTAGTTTATTTGACAATTGAAAATTTGTTCGATTTATGGACACTGAAACGCTAGCGCCGCGTAGCGGTGAAACCGTGGAACTAATCGCTATCGCTGTCCTTGTCGCACAGTAGTGCGTTCCTTGTCTACGAATGGTGCTGCCATCTGAGCCAGTTAATTTTTCATTGGAACTAAAAGGGCAAATTGGAAAAATCCGATAGATGGCAGCACTTGTTCATAGACAGGGAGAGCAACAGTGTGCGACAAAGACAGAGATATGTTTGCGCGTCAGACAAGGAGAGTGATACTGTGCGACAAGGACAGCAATATTCCAGCGCGTCAGACAAGGAGGAGAATATTGTGAGACAAGGACAGATATATACGCGCGCGTCAAAGAGGAAGATATTGTGCGACAAGGATAGACATATATGCGCGCGTCAGACAAGGAGGAAAATTACGCGACAAGGAAAACAACATATTTTAGTTCCACAGTCTACGCGGCGCTAGCATTTCAATGTCCATGAATTGATTAAATTTTAATTTGCAGAAAAAACTAATTAAGAGGACATAACTAATTAAAATTTGCAAATTTTTGCAATTGCGTCGTCAAAATTAAAGCCTCAGCTTTCTTCTTATATTCCATTCGCTCTGTAAAACGCATGTACAAAGAGAAATTTTGCAAATTTTATTCCACGACTTTAAGTAGGTTTGAAAAATTGTCGCGCGCCTTTTGTTTTTTTTTTTTTATTATCATAGACTTTTTTTCTCGAAAAAGCGAAAAAGTAGAAAATGAGGAGTAGATGAGGAAGTGATTGAACATTGAAAAAAGGCGGCGTAAGGCATATTTATTTGTGTGTGCGAATTGACATTAATCAGAGCCGCATGAACTTCTATGAAGGAAATTACAGAAATGAAGAAGGCAGAAAACGCAAAAAGAAAAAGAAAAAAAAATTAAAAAAGAGCGTAGCTATTTTGTAGTAGGATATTTTGAATTATAAAACAGAAGCGACATTGATATAAATAATCTGTACGTTCACATGTAGGACAACCTTTATTATTTAATACAGTACTAATTATAACATAATACTACGCATTATTACAATATTAGTATTATTATATTGGTTGTAATCTGAGTTTTTTTTCCTTTTAATGGTGTTTTTTGCGGCGTGGGTGCGTGCGTGCCGTTGCGTGCATGCGTGTACGCGCGCGCACTTGTGTGTACGTATCTATATATGATAGTTCTCATATAAATAAACAAATAAATACATACGCATGTATACAATATATATATATATATGTATATATATATATATATATATATACATATTTATTCATTTATTCATAATACTCCTACACGTAGTGCATTACATGTACACGTATGTATGTGTATATATGTATACATATATGATATTTATTATACCCTTGTATTATTACGCGGTACATGAATTCATATCTTATCTCTTATAATCTTATAAATCTAATTCGAATACATATAGTGTATATAGATATATATATATAGATATATATATTTATGTATCATCAGGATGGTATAAATAATATTGTATTTCATAAAAGCACTTTTTGTTGCTTATAATATTATTGTTTTTTTTTCCTCTTTAATTATCGCTTCCCCCCCATGTATTTCCCCTAACGCTCTCTCTGTTTCGCTTGGATTTCTCCCCCACCCCCCTCCCCACCCTTTTTCCTCTACTATACGCGACGTCCGTAAAGGAATTTTCTTCTCGGCTTTCTCCTTTTTTTGTTTTTTTTTTTTTTATTTTATTTTTTTACGTTTTACATTGTTAAAAGTGTTGTCACGTCTTTCTTTCGGCTTTACTCATTTAGCTTCGGAAGGAAAACTTAAGACACATTACGAACTACAGATATCGAGAGTTTTCTTGTTTTTTTTTCTTTTTTTGTTTCTTTTCTCTTATTTTACTGCTCCCTCTTCTTCCTCCTCTTCTTCTTCCTCTTTTTTTTTTTTTTTAAATACTAGACATAGTTTTCGCGTTGTATTGATCGCTTTTCTTTCCTTTCGTCAATCTCTTTCGAACATATCGCGGTCGATATCACTGGAATCCCCGTCCCACCCCTTCCCGAGATGTCGGTGAGAAATTCCTTTCGTGCAGTTCGCTAGCACTAGCTGTTGATTTTTTTTTTATTTTTTACCTTTTACTTTTCATCGTCGTCGCTTGTTGCTGTTGTTGCTGTTGTTGTTGTTGTTATTATTATTATTATTACTATTATCATTATAATAATAATAATTATTATAATTATCATTGTTATTACTATTATTATTTTAATTTCTTTACTTTATCTTTCGTTCGTTCGCTCGTTCGCTCGCTCGCTCGCTCGCTTGCTCGCTTGCTCGCTCGCACGCACGCACGTACGCACGCACACACACAGGACACACACACACACGTTACAGGCAGACGTGTGTGCGCGCGAGTCTAGCGCTATGCAAGTGTGGTACTTTGGAAGACTATCATATAACTCACAATGTTCTCCTAATCCATGACCATTTGTTCTATTGCATTTCAAGAAACGAAACAGAGTGCGAAAAAAAAGAGAGAGTCGATTGTAATCAAACCGCGAATATACTTGTGCAGATTCTCGTCTAGCGACAAGAACCTAGATGGAGGCTTTACCTTACATCTACCAGGAAAGAGATTTTCATTTCTGCGCAACTATCGGGAAGAAGAATTTCGCAATTCAACCGACACACGGCCTGGAAAATTTTGAAAACATTTTGTAACAAGTCAAAGCTAAAAATAATCCTCATAGAGATAGAATAGAAATCGAAATAATTGACAAATATGACACGTTGTTGGTTGTCACATAACATATGTGTAAGTCACATTTTGCTTTCTTCTTGCAGAGATATACTACTGCCCCTGTTGCAACATAGATTTGCCTACACCTCTAAATTTTCCAATGCGAACGCAATTAAAGCTCGCAGTCTGAAAACGGGCGAGCTGAGAAGAGAAACAGATGCAAGAAAAGAGTGAAACGCAGAGGATCAAAGAAATACACACGACACGTGATGTACAGGGGGAAGAGTGAGATGACAGAAGATGTACAAAAAAAAAAATGGGCGAGATACATTTGCACAACGCACAATAGAAAAAGTGATCAAAGAGTTTAGAAGAAAATTGTTTGCTACGTATGACATCCTTCCAGGACACTACACCGGCATAGTAACGAGTACAGAGTGTGTCCTACAAGGTATGGCATATGCGGCAAATGAAAGATAGGAAATACAGTTATTTAAATCGAAATGAGGAGTGTCGAGAGCTTATCGATGCCCTTATTTATCTAATCTCTACTATACTTTAGTTTACTTTATTTGCTTGTTCCTTTCGAATCGGTCTTCGTCTTGCGAAAATTGCTACCTGTTTCACGGTTCCAATGTTCGAATAGCCCGGGAGAATGCACGCGCGTTTTTTTTTTTTTCCTTTCTTTCTTTCTTTTCCCAATAAGTTTCACAGTTTCTTTCGTTTCGTTTTATTCTCACCTTCTTCCTTTCTTTTTTTTTTCATTATTTTTTTTTTCTAGCAATTAATTGTACCGCCGTTAAAAAATATCTGATATTTGTCTTAATGTTTTATAAACTTTAAACCAGAGAATGCTCGTGTCACTTTAGAGTTAGATTATAGAAATTACGTTTGCATTTTTTTTTTTTTTGTTTTGTCTTCTTTTTTACATCCTTTGGATAGATATTATTAAACACTTTG